CCTTTCTATCCCACTAAGTGAATCAGACATTCAGTATTAGACAGCCTCTCCTTTGGTTACATACAGCTGCAGGCATTGGGTGGGACTCTGTGGCTGCAAATACCTAAGAGGAAACATAGAGAACAATGCCAACATACAAGTGGTGAGAGGCTCTGTGCAATGTTATGCAATGCTACTGACCTCTTTTATGGGGCAGCTGGAAGACAGTTACCTTCTGAACATGTTAGTTGGATAACAGAAAAACAGATTAATGAAAGCCTTTGTTAAAATCCGCTTGGAAGCAGTCCAGCTGTAATCATCTCCCTTCTGCTGTTCCTTGAGCACTGGATAACTCATCACATGAGTATTTAATGGCCTGGTGGCTGTTTGTGCACAGATCTTTAGTCTGCTTTTAAGTCTGAGATCTTCCTATGTAGTCAAGTAAAATCACTAACGCTTTCACTCTAGTAAGGAGAGGAAGAGGAGAGAAAGAAAGGAAAAGACAGGGGCAATATGTTAGAGACAAGTGAGAGATATCAAGTTAAGGAAACTCTAAAACATTATCCAGATCTCCTGCAATCTGGGCACTGGACAAGGCACCACACAGGCATGCTTGTGGTGGTTCAGGCAGTGAACAATACCAGGTCTCCCAGGTAACAACTGTACACAGCGAGCAAATCCATAGGCCGTAATTCATTCAGGCAAATGACTCAGCCACAATTGGTTAATCAAATACTTACGTCTCTTACACTCTCAATTAGCAAACTCAGTAAAACTGTAATCAATGTGAAGATTGTTAGCGGCACAACACCCTCCCCACTCTGACATGCTTCCCCAATTAGCTTCATTATTCTCATAAATTTCCTTGACTTGTCAGTGATCTCTGTCACTGAAGTTTTGATATTTCAAGACAACTGCTTGGATGACCCAGATAGTCCTTAAAAACTTGTATACATTGCTGCTGCTAAAGGTTTCACTCATATTATGGCTGGGTGTGTTGGGAATATTCAAAATAATGACCTAGTCTTGCAGAACATAAGGAATAATCACAGTCTACCTAAAAACCCCACAGTTGTTCAGGTAGACTGTGTTGTTGAAACCTTGGTTGCAAGCTGCAGGGCAGGATAGGTGGGGATGTAGGTTATCAGAATGAAACAACTCTAAAGCAAACTGAGCTGTGTTGCAGGTCTGCAAATCATATTTCCAAGTTTTGAGCTCTCTGCATGTTTTCTTGGATTTGAACTTGATGCCCAGGATAACAACTGTGTGTATAGTGACAACAGTACTTAAAGGGCTTGTTTTCTTGTCTGCAGTCTCCAGCACTGGGGTCGCTCTTTTGCACACTGCTGAATGAACATGTCTCAATGAGCCTGCACAACCGGAAGAGGTTGCACTGCATAGAAGGTAGGTCACAAACTAAGTAACATGGGGCTATCCCATTTCATAAGCTACATTGAGTGCCTGGTCATCTCTGCTCACAAAGAATGGGTCAGACATGAGGCTGGAAAGAGCACAGTCTTACTTGGTCCCTTTGGATAAACAAGCTTTAATCTCAGCCAAATAGCTCAGGATCAAGAAGAACTTTGTTAGGCATTTGTCATGCTCATACTGGCTGATGAATAGAGGCTAGGAGATGGTGTGGTGAAGAGAAGGCTGAGTAACGAAGCTGCCCAAACACCAAGGAGGCCTGGAACTGTGCAAACAGCTACAGACAGACCTGGTTCATCACAACAGATCAAAACATAGGAAGACAAAGCAAGATGCAGAAGATCCACCAGACATAACTATACACTAGGGAGGAAAAAACCCTGCTAGTCCAGTCCTGAACTCATCTTTTCCATGACAGCAAGAGCAGTCCCCTGTCCACCACCCAGCCAGCTTCTAGCCAGCCAGGGCCTTCCCCCCCTGATTTTGGCTAATCTTTTCCAGTGGTTTTGCTCCTTGGCTTTGCCTCCTGGTAGCACTGACATTAGACATTTGAATAAATAAGAATTAAAACACATTGGCATTCAGTTTTGCTGTGAGAAGCATTTTTCCACCACAGCGGTGTAAACTGCTTGCCAGTCACCCACAATTTTGTTTGGCAAGAAAGAGAGGCATTAAAAAATAAACAAAGTGTAGTCAGATTTGCAGTGGCTACCTGTCTCCTGTATATTATTACTCCAAGAACTACAGAACATTGGAGTTATTCTGCACACAGCATTTTCCACCAGCTGCCTGTGGCCTGAACTGACAAGGATGTGAATCAGAGTCAGCCTCCTGGCACAGCAGAACTACAGGCATGTTTAGGCACATGTCTGACTGTGCCTTGCTTATTTTTCAGATAGGCAATTTGAAGGGAAGTCCATGCAAGAAGCAGGCATTTGATTTGGATGTAATTACTTCAAACATTTCCAAAGCTACTCTTGCGTGAGTCACAACACCTTCCACTACCAAAACCTTTAGATGTTTGTGTCTAAAAATGAAGTCAGGAGATTGACCCTTCATAGTCAAGACAGATGCACTCCAGCAGTGCTGTAAAACAATTCTATAAACAATAACAGCCCAGCTCTGAATAACTGGAACGTAGTGACTAACCTCTGCTGGAAATTAAAACTTATTGCCTTACCCAGTTTTTCTTCTTATCTCAGAAAGACCAGGAACAAACTAAATCTGGTCTGTCTTAAGTGTGCACCCAAGCGGGTAAGAGCTAGAACACTGATCATTTATAGCTATAGCTTGAAAGGAAAGGCTGTGATTAACAGGTGAAAAATTACAATCCTTTTTATCATCTCAGTTTCTGCTTAATAAAAGTACAATCACTGTTTGATTTGGCTTTCTTAGACTAGCTTTTGTGCACTCTCTAAAACCATTGGCTGTGCAAAATCACTGCAAAAATTCTTGCTTTGGTGTACAAGGAATGTAGAGAGAAAAAAAAAGCAAGATCAATGTATAGAATAGATCTGGTTGACAGTCATTCCAAAGGCAAAATTATTACAGGCTATTATCTAGTTGTCTGGAGGAGCCGTGGACCAGCTGGCTGTGATGTTCTGCGCAAACTTAAACACAGACAGGAAACCGCATGTCTGATACTGTAAAAATCATTTGTCTTCCTGCCATGGCTAACCAGGCAAGCAACCCAAAGGGGCTGTTTTCATTTAAAAGAAACACTAATGCACAACAATAAAAAAGGAATGACAAAGCCTCAATTCTCCCCCTCCTGACTGGAGTTAATGCTTGTGTTTGTGAATGAACTGGAAATGTTACAAACTGAAATTTTAGATAGTTTCTTATCTGTAGTTATTCACTTACTACATGTGAAGGTAACACAGTTATCATGAGTCACCTCCAGTGCTTAAAGCATGGAGGAGGAAAAATTCCATGCCAAGGAGTGAAAGGAATTAGAGTAAAATCACTGGGTTTTAATTTACACTACAGCTCCTTTTAGGCTGATCTGGAAAAGCGAGGAGGGCTGCAGATTTGATGGGAATGAAGGCAGTTGGTGTTGAATTTATAAAATGGTTTTCATAAGCATACACAGAGAAGACACACATTTGTCAGAATGATTGTATTCATCTACATAGCTCCAGGAGAAACAGCTATAATGTGACTAATTTATAACAAATTAGCCAAAATCCACAAGGGTGCGGTTCACTTTGTATAAAAACTCTAGACAGCTCACAGAGCAAGAACTTTCCTCTGGGAACACGTTGTCTCCAATAAAATCAAGGCAATCTGTTAGAATTAGGTCCTATGTCTACCACCTATGCTCACATTAATACCAGTGTTTACTTCAACTCCTTTAAAGCCCACCCAAATAAGGGTTAGTCATATAACCATGGATCAGTAGTTGGGTTTTCTGGTTTCAAATCAAGCTTGGAGTGGGGATGAGGAAGAGGGGAGCAGGTGGCACCAGATATGGATAGCCTGGGCCAAAGGAGGCAAAGACTTTCTAGCTTGCTTTTGACTAATCTGGTGTGGTTTTGCAACTGAAACCAGTTTGCCCTCTTGGAGGGCTGGGAAGAGAGAGCTAGAAAGCACTCACATAGTTGTCTGCCTCATTGCAATCACACACCATGTTTTCCAGGAGTGGAAACAGCGTCCCAACCCTTCATTATCTCAGGTAATGAGGATTTGAGTATAACCTTTTCTGAGGAACTTACATGTGATAAGGATGGGTTTTGTGTGCCATACTCATTTAGAGGTGTGTGCACGCAAAATTCTCCATTTGCCTCCAAGAGACCTGACTTAGTCTCAGTAAAAGAACCACTGTGGGATCCAGCAGGTAGGAGAGAATAGTGAGGTGTACGTGTGCAGCATGTAGTCCACCAGCACTGTACACACCTGCACTGCCTTTACAGTGTTTGCAGTGGTCCATACAGGCATTCATGAAGTAGAATGGGGACAGGTTATACGCTGTGATTTGGTCTATACTCAGATTTCACTGGTTTAACTGAACTCATATACACATCCTTATGCTGTAGTAAGCATGAGGTAACATATCCACCAGTGAAGGAACCCTGTAGCTACTTCACACCCACCACAGAACAAGTGCAAATGGTCACTTACAACAGAGAAGCTGAGTTTAAATTCACATCCAATCAAGTTACTCATCAGTATCTGTATATACAGATGTCACACTATGGCAAAACTGCTTTTTAGAAGAGGCAAGACCTTAAATATGGCATTTGCCTCTTGATTATGTTTTATAATGTAATTAGCATATGTTGTATTTTGGTGTGTCAACAGAACAGCTCTAAACATCTTGCTTTCATCTTCTTTTCATCAGCTTTTAAGTGCAGTGTCTCAAGTTGAATATCAGACCTACTTCAAAAGGAGGAGGACAGACTGGCAGGAAGAAATATCCTCTGAACACAGAGAAAGAAAGGTTGAGGTTTGGCAAGACTCAGAAAAGACCAAAATAGTTCCTGCAGCTGGAAGTTTTCCTCCACAAAATGCAATTCCAAACTCCATTGCTACGACACAGTTAATATTACTTGCAAGGTACAGCTTAGGAATGCAGCTTAAATTATTAAACATACCTGATGGAAAGATGAGCATATCATTGCATTCTTCACCTGTACAGGAACACATGAACATCAATCCCCCATCTTCCTTCTTTTCCCTCATCAAACACTGCTCTGAGCTGGAGTCATCCAATATATGACCATACAGTGTTTTCTGGGGATCATGGCATATTGTTTCTAATGTCACATTTTCATCATTCTGTCTCCTAAAAAATGAAAAGGAGAAAACTGAAAACAAGGAAGAAATATTTTACAAAGGGAGCAGACAGCACTGTGTCTGCCCCAAATTTGCCTTGTTTGAGAACTCAAATGGGATTTAAAGAGTATCATTCTGGCATGAAAAATCCAGAATATATCTTAAATTGCACTACAGGCACTTCATATGGCAATAATAGACACTGACCACTTACTAAAGGAGCACAGGACAAATACGGAACAGCACGCTGGACTGATCCTGTATGTCAAGTTTGTCTACTTCCAATTATGCTGAACATCTCTTTAAGTCAATGAACACAACTAATCCCTTAATAAATGAATTATGTCTTTCTGTAAGTGGTTCTAATTCTGTTCTTAAATCTGCAGCAATGTTGCAAATACTCAGTTCTGTTTTGTCCACCTATGAACTTATTATGAGTGTTTCTGGCTTTCTTTGGTAGGATTGGCTTACCATTTATAGAAGAGCAAGACCTCAGGTTTTAGACTGGAATGCAAGGTTAGAGTCAATGAATCCTAAAAAAGTGTTACAACTCAATTTCGTATACTTTTGATTTCTTTGAACTTAGACATAAAAAAGCACCACTCCTATAACAGAGTCAACACAGACACTGTTCTTTTTTTTACCATTAAGAGAAAGTATTTCTACCTATACATGTTAAATAAGCTTACTGTGATAGATCTACATAATCTAGTTCACTTTTAAACCTGAGAGAGAATTGTCTTTCTTCAGCAAATGCTACCATAATCCTCTCCAAGTATCAAATCTGTTTCTACTCTCAGTGCTGTGGGTAGATGCAGCTTAATGGTTTGAGCAAAGCCATGCCTCTTTTCCAATAACAGCATAAGCTGGAACAGAAATGCTTTTGAAGAAAAAGAACATTTCATATCAAAATTGTTGTTACCTTCAAACAACTCTCAGTATGCTGAGCACAGATATGAGTTGGAAGTGAGAGAGCAAAGCCCTGTGAGGTAGCATGGACATTATGAATATCAGAGCAATCGAGGAAAGTACTAAGTAACGATGAATGAGGTTATGCTCCCTTTCTGCACCTGTATGAAGAAATAACTTACCATATAGCGACACAGACTTCACTATTCTTCTCACAGATAGAAGTGATGTTGCAGTTGCTTTTGCACTGATGTTGGTTTGAGCAGGTTGTTACCTTAATGTCACAAAATTTGCATAGGTTTGGCATTTGCAATCCATTTTCCTTAGTTCTGTCTACAGGTGACATAATTTCAGCTTAAGGGAAAAAAAGAGAAGGAAACTCAGTAACAGTAGTTTATCAGCTTGTTTTATTGCTCATTATGAACATAGCATTTTCAGCAGCAGCAAACATTTCCTCCCACCTTAAATTAGAAAATCTTTGATCTTTCACTACCAATTTTCTTTACAATAAGACAAGTGCCACAGTGTCAAGACCAGTTTAATCACAGTGAATTTGAAACGTTAAATCAACTTCCATTGGCTTCAGAGGGAGCAAATGTTGCTTTGCACTTTGCAGAATCAAGCTTACTGTGACTCCAGTTTGCTCTGAAATAACTACTCTGCAGCCACCCATTTGCATTATTCACAGGCAGCATATCTGTCCCCTACGAACAATATGATTGCATCATGGTCTGTGTGCCAGAGTAACTGTGGATACCAGAGTGGGAATGCACATAAGATGGGTGGTATTTTGACGTGGATCATGATGAATTGTGCAAGTTTGTGTTAATTAACCTGAGGCATTAAATACATGTTGTCTCTGTGTGATTACTGTTCACACGGAAAAACACAGAGCTGGAAGTTACTTTCAACTTAAGGTAGATGGTCTGCCAGAGGTTGCGGGTGAAAGTCAAGCGGGAAATGCAAGAGGGGATCTGTGAAACTCATGTAAACTGTTACCGGAGTGTTCCTGACGTAACTCAAGGGGGCTTGAACTCAAACTAACTTGCAGACTGCCTTGTAGAAGTATATTTTGACCCAACAGCTTCATTTCTTTCCCAGGCATTGAAGAATTACTTGCTTACTGGTTCTGAGTCTTAGTACTCATCTGCTTCAGTGTGGGGCAAGGAAGAGATATTTTTTGCCCCAGTGTATGAATTTCAGGAAACATATTTTTAGTTCAAAAACTACTTTGAAAAGCCAGCATGACTACAAGGAATAGAAAATGCCAACGTAAACTTTTTTCTAATACTAAAATGAATATGCAACTATCTGAAGTGGAGCAGACTATCTACAACAGTTTCAGTCTGACTCACTTTGTAATATACTTGGAAAAGTAGGTTGAACCACTTTAATGAGATACTGGGCTTCACATAGCACAGCCCTTCTCTTTTAGCCACCTGCATGTTAAAAATATGTTCACATTGCTCTCTGTGGGAAAATGTTGCAAGTCAATCAATAAAAGGCAGCCAGGGATTTGTAATTTCCCCCTCTTCCCTGCATTAGCTGAGAAATAATTTTTTTCCTTCTAGAACTTCACTATTTACTACTATTAGAATGTTTTATTACAGAAATTAAATATATATGCTTTTTCTAGAAGGAAATAAAAAAGCCTCTTGCTAATATTTTCAATGGCTTTCTGAGCCATTGTGAGGGACTGAGAGACAAGTTTTCCTTCTTTATCCAAATCACACATCTTTTTCATCACTAGCATGCTCTGATACTGACCCAAGGTCTCTGATCTTACTGCCATTGTAACAAATGGCAAACTCCCAATGAGTTCAATGTTATAGAAGAAGCTCCTAAACAGAGGGGAGGGTTATGATGAGCTCACTGTGAGCACTTGGGTGGAGAATGCTGGCAATATGTTACAGGCTAGGTGAATTTTAAGCCCCAGGTAAACTTTTCTTGTTCTTAATTATTCCCAGAAGCCATGCGGAAGAACAAAGCCTCATTGAAATAGGTGTGGTAGGAACTCAGAAGTAGTGTTCTATAAAATATGTGTTAATATAATCATCATTATGGCAAATTGCTCCTCTTTTCCTTACCACATGCTGAAGAGAAACTAATAGCTGTGATGATTTATTTAGATTCCAGTAATGATCAAAACAACCTGATAATGAAGGACTGTCCCCCTACCCAGTAAGAGGCACTTTGTGGTCCTGAAAGCCTGGATGAACAATACAGACAAATATCAAGGGAGAGATGAAGTGACTCACCCAAGTTCACAGAGGAAACCTGTGGCAGGGTGCCAAGCAGCTCAAAACTGAGCACAGGGGAAAGACATCTGTTGCTTAAACTGCAAAGACTTTAGCTACATCTACACTGCTTTCAGCTCTGAGCTGATATGGCTCCGTGTTTCACCGGGCAGTTGTGTGGCAATGGATGCCTCTGCAACAGGCACAACTTAATCCTCTCTAGCGCCCGCAGCACTGGAGCTAAAAGCCACAGGAAGGTGGGTCCTTAGGCAAACTAGTTCAAGTACATTACATTTGTTGAGAGGCAGGGCTCATTCCTGTGCCATCCCTGGCAATGCCAAGTACTGCCAAGACTCACTCACTGGAACAAATGGATGAAAATATGTTTGGACCTCTTCCAAGAAGGGATCTCCAAATGAAGCAACTTGGAAGCAGCAATCCTTTGCAAGGTCACTTATGTTTCTAAGTTACAGTGGTAGGCCCTAATTCAATTACTAGCAAAAGGCTGGGTAGTTAGGGCCAGCTAATTTCTGAACAGGTTAAATTAATGGCAAAAATCTAATGGGGTTTTAGGACTCCCACAACTGGCCTTTGAATTTTGTCCCCAAAATCCTTGTAATAGGGGTTGACAGTGCAGTGCCTTGCTGTTCATGCTTCTGATAGTTCAAGGTACTGGATGAACTGCCCTGGTGGACAAACGTTCTTTCACACTTCAGCATCTGATTTAAAGTGAGACTGCAGATTACTTTCCCTAATACTGTCACATTGCTCTAGCAGGTGTTGATGTGTTGTTCATTAGTACACTTGGCCTTGCCCATTGTGATAAACTATCTAGTTCCAAACTAAAGACACATTTGATTTTCCCCTATCAGGCTGATGCTGAAATTCCGCTATAGACTGATGCTGAAATAAACCTCTGCAAAGAGCCCAAGATGAAATCTGGAGCTGGATGTGAACCTTAGCATCACTCTTCTGATCTCAGCCCACTACTAAACTGTGAGGACTTTAAAATCCAGGAAAGGCTGGTCTTCTTCCAAGTCACGTGAACTCAGACCTATTTCTAAGAAACAAAATCCTGCCTGGAGAATACAAGTTGGTAGGGTTCTTCCCCAGGTAAGAGTATTCACTCATTCCTTGAGGGGCCCACAAGCAGTTCACTACCAGGAACATTGCTCCTCTTTTTGTAGTCACTTGAATGTCCATCTCTAAAAATGCTTGAATATCCTGCTGCACACTTTGTAGCCCACAAGCCAGCTCCTCAAGGTTTTCTCCTGTTCAGACAACCAGTCACTTGAAACTGTGCACAGAAGCAACCTTTCATTTTGCATGAAAAACAAAAACAAAAGTGGATATAATGGGAAAGTCAATGGAGAAAACATAGATTTGCACATCTAAAGGAAGCCATCCTAAAATGTGAGTTTTGCCTTCTGCTCTCTAATGTTAGTTTTCTTATTTTGACTTCTACAGGAAGCCTAATTCTAGCTTTCCTTGCTTCCTTGTCCACGGAGAAGGCCCTAAATAAAAGACCGTGGTTTCTTGGCTATGAAGCTTTCAACCAACCAGTTCAGCATAGATCAGTCATCGTGGTTGAAATGCACGGAATGTGCAAACCAACACTTGGGCTGGGTATTATGGAAGAGACACCAGAGCAGCCACATGAGAAATACAAACTACAAGGATTCTAGGGAATCCAGGCTTGCAGGACAACACTTTTGCTTTACGGTTCATGTCTCTATGATTTTGCAGGACCTTATAAACCGTACACCTCATCCAAAGTCTACTGACAGTCTAGAAGTTGTTGTCTTGTTTCTGATGTTTTTAGATGTGCAATTTTAATTGAAGCCTCAGGATATAGTTTACATTCCTCTTATTTTTCAGTATCATTACAGAACTCTCAAAAGCCAACAACATTTAAATAAAGCCCAAACCAACATGCTGTCGTTTGGGGAATATCTACACTGGAAAACTTTATGTATGTCTTAGGATGCATTTCAGGAACAGTAGTAAATTTCTCTTACTCCTATCCTGTAAAAAATACTGTTACTGCATTTCTGTTCTCTCATCCAGTGCCTCTGGCACATGCACACATATAAAACAGCATTGCTGAGCAGATAGATCTCATCCCTTAAAAAGAAAATTGCTGAGAGAGATGTTGGGATGGGAACTTAATTACTCAGCTGCTGTGAAATAATTCCACCTGGTGGGAGAGACTTCAATTTAAGACTTCACTACATCATGGAAATCTACAAGAAGGAGGATGCTTTTATCAGAAAGCCTCGAAGAAGATTGTCCTTGTTCTGCCAAAGAGTACAGCTCCACAAAATTGTGTCTCAGTGACTGGAAAGCACAGTAGTAGCTGTGAAGAACATCCACACTGTATTACCTTCTTATCCAACATAAAGACATCAGGTTTAGCCAGGAACAATACTAAACACAGCATTTTTTTCTATTTTGCCTACCACCGCCAGCAAAACTTTGATAGTAATGGGGACATTGCCGGCACCATGAAAGTGGAGAGGTGATGATGCAAAAGCACATTCTTTGCCTTACAAATATTGACGAATTAGTTGCAGAAGGGAAGGAGTCAAGGTAAACGCGTGGTCCAAGCATTACTTGTAACACTGGATATAGCCTAATGGTTATTCTTAGTTATACTGATTATGTTCAGTGCTGTAACACAAGGAAGAAAAGATAGAACCATAATCAATCCCAAAGATTCAAAAATCATGAGTTAAAAAAGATCATAAGACTAGCTGGAGAGATCATGGAAATAAAGGAAGGAAAAAATACCAAACCAACTGATCAAACAAAAAGCCCAACCAAAACCAGCTGCTGGGTTCTCCTCTATTTGCCATTGTCTCCTGGACTCTTAGAGTGCATTGGAGTCATGTTTTGAAACTTTGGCTGTAAGCAGGAGGGTTGGAATTACTGTCTGACTTGCAAAATGGAAAAGACAAAAAGAAAATAAATCCCTGAAATCCAGGAGCTTGATCTTTAAAAGCAAAAAAAGTCAGCTATCATGTGATCATACGACTCTTTATAATCACAGGAGTTGGCAACACTGCTGATCACCTAGCATCTCCCATGATAATGCCTTCAGGGTTAACCC